GATTGAGATGAGAAAGACCTTACTTCTGAGCTCCCTGGGAAGAGGAATCATGTTTTTCTTACTCTCTACTATATTCTAGCCACTGGCTTAGACAAAGTGCTTCATAAAAAGAAGTCATAAAGTACTGAATTTAAGAGCTTAGAGAAATGCCAGCCTAGCAAAGTTTCTTTAGCATCTCCTTCTCTCCTTTACACTACTTGTTCACATCCCTTCTTCTTCAACATTCTCCCACTTCCTGTCCCGGGCTCACCTCACACCCACCCCACCCCCAGCTCCCCAGGTTTGGCGGTCTCTCCCTCTCTCCTGGTTACAATTCCACAGAGTTGTAACCTGGAGACCAAAACTGAGGCCCAGAAAGGGAAAGGGTCACACAGGGTCACACAGCAAGGCGTCTAGATATGAACTCAAATCTGAGTCTGAAGTCAAGCATGAGGGGAACCTCACAGAGGGAAAGAAGGAAAATGCCTCAGTTTCCACCTCCTCCACCATCTTGTCCCAAGTCCGTCCAGGCAGTTTAATGGCGGGATAACAACCCACGCTGCCCAGCTAGGGGACCACAAGCCAGATGGACCCATTATGAATCTACATGACCCCTTTGGCCACAGCACACCCAACAAAGCAGCCAGGGCCTGAGGTTGCCTCTGAGCAGTGCAGGGTGGCACCTACGCTGAACCTAGAAGGTTAAAAAGGGACAAAGTCAAGTCTGTGCAGAAAGAGGATGGGTGAACCCAGCTTGGAGGCCATTCATACAGAAAGACCTAGGGGTTTTAAAAGACCCTCTGAAAGGTAAGTAAATGTTAGCACAAGCATCTAACTTGGTGTCCAGCACATAGTAGGTGCATAACCATTGTTTGTTAAAGTGCAATATGAGCCAACAAGGTGATAGAGCTACAGAGCAAAGCTAACACACCCTTAGGTCATATTAACAGAAGGACAGAGTCTACAGTGAAGAAGGTGACCCATATCTCACCATCTCCCATCCTAGGTTCAATCCTGGGTTCTGAACAGAATAAGATCTGGACAAACAGAGATATTAAGATCAAAGCCAAGAGAAGTGGCTGGAGGAGCAGGGCACTAATCCCAGGGATAAGCACTGCTTGGAGAGACTTGGTCACAGTCCCCAGGTATCTGCAGGGCTTCCTGCAGGGCAGAGGAACCATGTGGGGCTATGAGCTCCAGAGGTCAGGACCTTGGGGTGTCACTAGAGCAGATGCCAGCTCAATATATAAAATAATTTTCTAAAATTCTTTAGAGAACTGCTTTGGATGGTCATGGGCACCCTGCCATGAGGGGTGGCAGAGGTTGGGTTAGATGTCCTTAGCTCAGAACCTACCAGGCTCCCAAATTATAATCTCCAAAGTACAGGAGGGACATGTTAGTCCATCTGTTTCTACTTAACTTTCAACTAAAAATAGCTAACAGTATATAGTTCAACCCTGATGGGCACCCTTGGCTACATGTCAGATACTGAAGTAGGTCATGCCTACTAAGTGGGGCTCCCAAGGCCAGTGGGAAGCCCCACAATAGGTCTGCTGTGACCCTGTCTTTCATTTCTCTACATTCAGCCTATATATTGTACTGCAATATATTGCAGTACACTGGTGCCAGGTTGGGTGGATTTGAGGATCAAACAATGCATTTTAACTGAATCAGCCCCTACAGAGTAGACAAGTGGATTCAAAGAGTCCCTGCAAAGAAACCACAGATGGAGATAACTCTACTCCAGAAAGTGCAAGCGAGCAGCAGGAAAAGTGCAGGACAGACCCTTGGCTGCTCCTCACTCAAGGCCTTCATCAGCCACCTTACCATGTTGAAAACAACAATGAATGGGATCTCATACACACGGTATTGCTTACTGAAATAATAATAGGAAAACTACTTGGAATGTGGACTTCCATCCACTATTTTGGAGATTAAATTCACACTGAGTGTATATGGGGCCTTTAGACATTAGCTAATCATCACAGTACTTGTATATCATTTCTAAATCTGTAAATATGCATCTGTTAGGAGTGCCTAAAGCATTTTTCTTGAGAAGCCTGTGCAATCAAAAAGTGTGACAGGGGCACCTGGGTGGCTCAGTCGGTTGGGCATCTGACTCTTGATTTCGGCTCAGGTGGTGATCTCAGGGTCACAGGATTGAGCCCTCGGTCAGGCTCTGTGCTGGGTGTGGAGCCTGCTTGGGATTCTCTCTCTCCCTTTCCCTCTGTCCCTGCCCGCACCACCCCCCCCCAAAAAAAGAAAAAAGAAAGTGTGGCAACCACTGCTCCAGATCTTCAGAGCCAGTTAGACACTAAGGGATGCTGCTCCCTGTTTGGGTTTCAGGGTTGAATCAGATTTGTTTCAGATTTCAGAACTAAGAAAAACTAGGGGGGAGTGTGCCCCCCAGTAAAAATTGTGGAGCCCCAACCCAACAACATATCAAGATTAATGGGAAGAACCCAAAAGCTCTTAAAAGGTTTTCCGCAGCTCAGATTCTCCAAGGTGGGTGCCTATTTAAACAGCCAGAGCCAGTCCAGCCTCCTTTCTCATTCTGTCACCTAAGTTTCTTTGTCTCCTCTCTCTTTTCCATCTTTTTCTCCTGTCTCCCCATCTCCCTCCAACACACATATAATTCGGCAACAGTGAAAACCAGAAAGGAGGCGTCCAGTGCAAGAGAAGGAGCTTGCTGGGTCTTGAATGTCAGACAAACCTGGATTAAGTTCCCACCACTACCTTCCACTGACTGGGATCATTGCACACCACATTCATTCTCAGAGCCTCAGAATCCTCTCCTGGAGAAACAGGCATGCCTACAACTCAACAATAAAATGACAACCTAACTTTAAAATGGTCAAAGGATTTGAATAGACATTTCTCTGAAGAAATGGTCAGTAGCACCTGGAATGATGCTCGACATCTATTCATTAAGAGAAATGCAAATCAAAAGCACAATAAGAGGGGTACCTGGCTGGCTCAGTCGGAAGAGCATATGACTCTTGATCTCGGGGTCATGAGTTTGAGCCCTATGTTGGATGTAGAGATTATTTAAATAACTAAAACTTTAAAAAGAACACGAAACAAACCCACAATGAGATACCACTTCATACCCTCTAGGATGGCTACAATAAGAAATCCAGATAATGACAAGTGCTAACAAGGATGTGGAAAATTGGGAGCCTTCATGTATAGTTGGTGGGATTGCAGAATGGTACAGCCCCTTGGGGAACGCTTAGTGATTTCTCTAAATGTCAAACATAGATTCACCATATGACCCTGCAAGTCTACTCCTAAGTATACATCCAGGAGAACTGAAAACTTATGTCCACATAAAAACTCTCACATGAATGTCTACGTCAGCTTTATTCATAATAGCCACAAAGTGGAAACAACCCAAGTGTCCATCAACTGATGAACGGATAAACAAAATGTGATACAATCACACAACACCATTCAGCCAGAAAGAGGGATGAAGTGCTGGTGACATGCTACAGCATGGACAAACCTTGAAAGCGTGATGCTAAGTGAAAAAAAAAAAAAAAAAAAGCCAGTCAGGAAGGAGCACCTATTATATGATTCCATTTATATAAAATATCCAGAATAAGCAAATCCATAGAGATAATCCACAACGTAGATTAGTGGTTGCCAGGGGAAGGAGGAAATGGGGGGGTGACTGCTAAAGGGTCCGGGGTTTATTTGGGGATGATAAAAATTCTAAATTCTAAATTAGATAGTGGTGATGGTTGCATGACTGTGAATATACTAAAAGACACTGACTTGTACACTTTAAAAGTGAGAATTTGATGGCATGTGAATGATATCTCAATAAAGTTGTTATTGAAAAAAAAAAGAATGAGGACACCTCCGCCAGCGCGGGAGAGAGCGCGCTCTAGGACGGTGGCCTGGAGGGGATTTCAAAGCACAGGTTTAGAGGCGTTTTAGAGGGCAACACTAGCCCCCAGTTCCACGGGTTTCAGAGACAGGAGAGGTCCCATTATTTATAGATCTGCTTGGTTTGGACCCCAAACCAAACACCGCACACGTCCCTCACCACAACTCCCCCTAACACGCACGCCTGACTCAACTTTTCTGGCAGTTTCTAAACAAAGCAGTATAAAATAATAAGCACATGACCATCATCTTTTGTCCCCCTTACCAAAAAAACGGATTGGCTGGAGGCCTGAAGGCCGCCTCTGAGGAGAGGGGCTGGGATGCTCCCTCGGAGCTGGGGGGGGGGGGGGGGGGG